TGGCTCCCGTGGTACGAGCTGTCCCCCTTTTCTCCCAGGCAGACGGCATAAGAGGTCCGCTGGGTCACTCGGTCGGGGTCGGAGAGCCTGGGGTTGAGCCACTTTGTCCTGATGACTTTCAGCCACTCGAACTCTGCTGTCGGCCTCGTGCTTCTCGGGTCCCCCTTTTGGCGCCAGCGACCTGTGTGGAGAAATCTGATACAACTCCCTCAAGCCTACGCTCAGCTGTTTTGACCCACTTGGAGCCTGTTGGTGGGGTGTCTTGAAACAACAGCCGTCTGTGAACAGGTTTTCCAAATTAATTGTAGACCTCCTATCTACCAGTGCAGCTTCAGAATCTTAATACTTGGATTGTGCCAACTAAATAAGAACCCCAACATCTTTAGGTAAACTAAATAACATATTTCAATAGCTCTGAATTTCTGACAAGCATCTGTGTTTATTTTTAAATGAAATCCTATTTAAAATCGAAATATAATATGAACTGCTAATGTTTCTGGTAAAGAAACACACTAATGTTATGGATTCAAAAACAACCAAAATCACGATACTAACAAAGTGAATGATTTCCTGGTGATACTGCTTCTACCTGTCAGTGCTTAGATATTATTACGCTGAAAAAATGAATACAGAATTCCAACAAACTGTCATCAAATGTCTTTCTATTCTAAATGTAGATGAAATGTATATCCCCATAATGACCTAAGCAATAAAGTCTATGGCTTTTACTTCTTTACCAGGCTAGTTACATGATGTTGTCTAAATTAAATTCTGTCTCATTACATTACTATGTTTTAGCTTAACTTAACTGTAATATGTTCTTTCTATATTTCAAACCTCAGTTACTCTAATGTCTGTTAAAATATTACAAAATTGTTTCATTATCACAGGTCAACTTCTTCGGTTTCACAGTAGCCCCTTGGCCACTGCTTCTGTGTTACCTGTTATAATTCAAATCAATATTTAGAAACATCTCAACATTCATCAAACAGTATCTTATCCCCAGATATGGAGCAGGTTAATTACATTCAATGCTCAATCCTTAAAAGAAAAATTTAAATTGTGAATTTTACAGCCATGTTGACATTTATACATTATACTCACTCCCCCCTTTTACACATGAAATAATGTGTAACAAAAGCCTGTAATGGGAGGGGAACAAAAACTGTCAGGTAATTGGTTAGGGACATAACGAACATTATTATCATTATTTCCATAGTGAACACTTCAGTGAAAAGAAGTGTTCCTCTCCGTCCTTCAGGCCTAAAAGAAACAGAATCTTCAGATTGTAGTTTTACATTTGCAAACCGCCAACTCATGTGAGAGGAAAATATCACATGTGCGGTTGCCCCTTTTTGTGGAATTTTTAGGAAACCTCTCGTTACCCTTGGAGCTCCAAAATAATATGTTAGTCCAAAAACATGCTTGGTTAGTTATTGTTTTAGAATCATGCAGTTACACTGATCACATGCCGGCATTCATTCACACTCACACTGTCTGGTTGTCATGTCAAGTTTGGTCAGGTCCACCCCAGAGTCAGTCATCCACAGTGCCTTGTCAAGTTACACTGTCGGTCAGGGTCAAAGGTCAGTTGGTCTCCGTCTCTTTTGGCCATGTGTCGTGCTCTGCAGAGACTTTGACATTTCAGCATAGGCCAGTATCCTTTGTCTACAAAAATATGTCACGATTTCAACTATAATTTTCAAGATGATTCTCACTTGTCATTGGGACTTCTGCCTCCCACTTTTCCTGAAACTTGGTACAAAACTCACTTCCTTCGAGTACCACTACTACTGCAATCCAATTACACCTAATTAGTATTAAAATGTCTAATGATCTATTTCAGAAACTTGTGTACATAACTATTATCTTGAGTCAAGACATTACTAGGATCTGTGTCGCTCTGCATTTCATAGCTCATTATAATTCTGGTCTACTTAAAAAACAATGAAACTCTTTAGCAGTGTGTGGAACCTTGGGTGTCCGAACATGCAACAATTACTCCCTCCTTTATCAAGGATTTAAAACCGAAGTCTGGTAATAACTATGCCACAATGGTGAAATCAACACTTTAGATTGGAATTTAATATGTGGCTTGGCACTAGCCATTAATCTTAGTTGTTAAATGCCATGTAAACAACATAATTAATGTCTACTTATGATATTACAAAAACTCACTCCAAAAATTGTTTCATCCATTGTTACATATTTACCCAACACAACTCTGAAATACTTACATGTTTCCAGCATCACATATTCCACACACTATGAAAGAACATCTCCATATCTTCTCTCATTTTAAATCCCACTGTTACTTCGAACAATAGTAAACCTGCAGGGCACACCAATCGGATCACAGTAATGAAATTTGAATCAAGTGTAGGCCTATGTCTTCTTTCTGAACATTTATTTATATTGTCTAAATTTGCAAACAGTTCGAGTGTAAAATGTGTTTTGCACAATGTATTTACACTCTACAGATTCTTGAGTTTACTCATCTCCTGGTGCTGTCGTTGTAAAAAATGTTCAATCCCTTATTGTTTTGTACCAGTTTACCAAACAATACCGGCCAGCAATGTAATGATTAAACTCTAAGCTCGCATAAGTTTCAAGGGTGTGATACCCCCTTTCAGCCACTAGATGGCAGCAGCAGAAGTTTCAAGGGTGTGATACCCCCTTTCAGCCACTAGATGGCAGCAGCAGAAGTTTCAAGGGTGTGATACCCCCTTTCAGCCACTAGATGGCAGCAGCAGAAGTTTCCAGACAAAGGGAAACGCTCTACCTTGGTTTAATATATAACAGACCTCTGGCTTTAAGCTTTTAGCATTGGTCTGTTATTTAAACCCCAGTTTTAAACGGCGACTCGATCTGATATATCGAGTTTTCAGGTTTTGCCGTGCAGGATTCAAACCTCGCATTCACACAAACTGCACCATTTCTACGCCACTCAGGAATAAACACCTGCAGATCCGCGCCAAACTGCTCTATTTTACGTCACGCAGGACTTTCGTCTACCTGTCGATCCACGTTTACGTTTTGTATATAACTTTCCTAACATAGTAAAATATGCATTGTATATTCCATTTAAACTATAAAAACACTGTGAAACGCCTACAGACAATCCTAAAGTTTTAGCGTATCCAATTACAGACAGGCGACTTTCATCGTCTGCTTACCTTATTTGCAAAGTTGCAGAGTCCTGCTGATTGTCTGAGATGTTTGAAAGCGTCTGAATTCTTCCTCAGCTTCGTTATATCTAGACGTCGGGTCACCATTTTGTTGGGGATTTGGAGGGATAACTGGTCCGCTTTTCAAATCTCCGCGCGTTCCTATGAAGCTGGTTATAATACAGGAAGGAATCCATATCTACAAAGTAACCGTTAACAATAATCTACTTTAATGGCAATATGACAATGCAATACAATCATTACAATACAACATGATATATTACAGTTATATTGCAATGCTTAAGGAGTAATGCCGGCTTACTCCTGCTCTAGTCCGCATACTGCAGAGCTACTTTCACCCGAGCGCAGCATGTGAAGAAGAGGCCGAACGCCAGGGATCCACCGGATATATACCAGAGTAAGAAGGAGGGGTTTGGTGTTCGGTCAGCTGGTCATCTGTTCAGGTCCTCTCATTGGGAGACGCAACGCAGCAGGAAACGCAGCAGGAAACCACACAGGCTCACTTTACAACAAAAGGTCTCAAGGCCTGCATACCTACACCTCCCCCACAGAGCCATAAAACCCTGTTTACTCCAACCAGCCCAGAATGTTTATAGCCATTTGTAGTCCTTACATTTATGAAAGGATAAAACAGAGAAATCAATATAAAACACAAACACAGGTATTGTTTGAACAGTATTCACTTAACTGCTACTATTGATAACCACCAGAGAAACCCAAGGGACCTCTCTTAATATCACAACCACTGTAGCTCGTTCTAAGTTGAATGCAAATCAGGACATGCTCTCACCTTCCCCCATCTTCCTTTGTCCTCAAAAACACATGTCAACAGGCCCCAAATGCAGCTCACAGTTTTACCCAAATTATTCCCATTTTAAGCTTATCCATAGTTTGCTAACATGAATAAATACAAATATAACTCTACAGTTACTAACAAGATTACTTATATAATACAGAATACATGTTTAGTATGCTTACTTATATAAAACAGTAGTATTAAACTTACCTTGTGTTTTCACTCTCACTTAAGTTCCTCTCCCTTTGCCATCAATCCAAAATCAGCTGAGCTGCAACATTATACAGACAGGTAATACTCAACATAATCACAAGGACACAATATGGCTCTGCTAAAAACACTCACTCTTACACGCACCAAAGTTATATTTATCTAATATTTAACTCCCTCCACCCCCGCATACAATCCCGTTTAGAAGCCCCTCTTCTCTAATTCAACAATGACATTAAGAGAACGGAATTTACAAATAAAAGGCTGTTCAACGTGTGTTGCTAACTTGCTTCGGTATCCTAGCTTGATCTGTTATCTGTAAACGTTCCCTAAATCTACTGATTTAGGGATAATCCACTGACATCCTTTAATACACATGTTAATTTGAATCAGATGTACTGATAATATCCGCAATATAAATCTTTATACTTCTTCGTACCTTTAAAAGTCCGTCACGAACGGTCTATTATGCTGCAACTCTACAGTTCTGCTAGCCTTGGTGCTAACTTCCGGGGAACGATTGAGAGGCTCCACGATCCGCCATTGCTGTAAAAAAGTGGTCCATAGCTTGGTTTCAGTCACGTGACTTATATGACGCGCGAAATTCAAGTGGAGGTCAGGAAGTGAAAACGCAATCATTCATCAACGCAGGAATCATGGAGGACACCGACTATGTCAAACAATTAAATGAACCTGCACGCCGCAGATATCGTGAAAAAATCACAGCACACATCGGATACGATCCGTATCAGCTGAAAAAAAACGACTTTTCTCGTGATTTATCCAATTTTCCCGCTGTCGAGGCGATGGATATCACCAGCTACCTCGTCCTTCATACCTCCTACTACACGGCTAGCCAGATGAAAGCGTATAAAAGCCTGGAAGCTTTCAACTACTTCGTGTGTGGATGGGTGAATGACCTCGGCACCAAAGAGGCATTAAACAAATGTCGCCTTGTTTTTGCCCGGGTGAGTGTTAACTACCTATACCTTCTTACCTCTAAGTAGCATTATTAGGAGACATCTAGCTAGCTAACTTTAGCTACATGGACTCATGTAAGGCAGGGTTACGGCTGTCGCCTTGCCTTCAGCATTAACTGGCCTGTGAGTGTGTTGTGTGTGTATATATGTGTATGTTTGTTATGATTACATGTAGGTACTATGGTTACCGCGTCGGATGTTTCGGAAGAGGTCCCGATGACGCTACTTAAGCTGCGACGTTGTTGACATTCGGGGCGCTGCATCTGTGCTAGTACGCCATGCTACCATACCTCAGAATGTTTTTGTGTTATTGGTGCTTATGTGTGTGTCCTTAGGATATTGTTAACAGAGGTTAACTCGGGTGCTTATGGTGTGTGTGTACCTAGGATATTGATGTGAGTGTATGTGTTTAGCTTAGGATATATTGTGTTTTGTGTGTATAGACAGCTCAGAGCCTTTGAACAGCCTGCACGTTGTTTATATCACTCTATGTTGAGGTTAATATTAAAAACAACCTCTTTACCAAGACCATCTGGTTATGTGTTGCTTGTGATGTTGTTAAATGTATGTTACCAACTCGCAAGTTGTGAACTGGAGCTTCAATTGTGTAGGTCAACCATTCCCAGAGGTCTGGAGAAACACCATTAAAAACGTGGATTGTAGCTAAAGAAGATGGAGAGGTTGTTACAGCACACTGTAACTGTATGGCTGGGTAAGTCATAAAATAAATATCCCAACCCAAAGCATATTTGACACAACACTTAAGCTCAGACAAAATAATGCCTGCTATAATATTCATGTTATACCATTACTAGCTTTTACGATCAATCTAGTTATTCTAGTATGTCTCTGTCTATACAGTTTGTCAGAATCCTGCTCACATGTTGGAGCAGTTCTGTTTGCAATCGAAGCAGGTGTGAAGATGAGAGAGACTGCATCCTGCACCACTGAGAAGTGCAAGTGGCTAATGCCATCACATGTCAAAAAGGTATTCAGACCCCAGTGGTCAGTCAGCTGTTCATGCCGTCCTTGCCTGTCTCATTGTTACACTGCACCTACATGTATGTTCACATACATGTTGGTCTGTCTCTCACATGTGCAGATTCCTGCTGCTCCAGTTGCGATGATAGACTTTTCATCCGCAAAATCCAAAAGCAAAAACTGGATGATGCCATTGCTGGAAGGACAGGTGAGAAGCACACATTTCAGCGTCCCACAGTCCAGGGTTCAAAATTGGAGCGAGGATCAGAGAGGTATATGCAGTTTTTCAAGACTTTGAGCAGAAATTCCCCAAGAAGTGCTGCACTGATGTCCAGGGAACCATATTACAGAGAATTTGTCCCTAAATCTGTGAGCAAGCTACCTAAAACCAACTACCTCAGTATAGGACACCAGAGATGCTACAGCTATCCCCAACAGAGTTGCAGAATGCATGCCAGGACTTCAGACAGGAAGAGCTGACACAGCCACAGGTCCAGGCAGTAGAGGAGGAGACCAGAAACCAGAGCTTATCAGCAATATGGTTTAGCCAAAGAGCAGGAAGGATCACAGCCTCAAGACTGAAGCAGGTTCTACAGACTAGTCTTGCACAGCCATCAAAGTCCTTGATCAAGTCCATATGCTACCCAGAGGCATACAAGTTCTCTACAGCTGCAACAAGGTATTTATTAGGGATTAGGGAGCCAATCAGAAAAGCAAACTGTATACAGTTTTTCTCAGACGCGGAGGGATACCGACTTGTTGTGAAAAGTAACGTACAATTCTACCCGTGGTATACGCTGATTATATCACGTATATCAGTAAGTTACAGTACAAGTAACTTATAACTAAATTCATTATCATTACAAAACATGATTCACTAAATATTCAATGCATAAAAATACAGAATAAGTGTGTGTGTGTGTGTGTGTGTGTGTGTGTGTGTGGTGTGTGTGTGTGTGTGTGTGTGTGTGTGGGTCGTGTGTGTGTGTGTGTGTGTGTGTGTGTGTGTGTGTGTGTGTGTTGTGTGTGTGTGTGTGTGTCAGGTATGGATGCAAATACGAGGCAACTGCCCGAAAGCAGTATGAAGGAGTACAAAGTCTGCACCACCAGGGTTTCAGCTGTAAAGACAGCGGGCTTTGGCTGAACCCTCAATGGCTGAACCCTCAATGGCCATACATGGGAGCGTCGCCAGACGGATGTGTCACGTACACCTGCCATGGAACTGGTCTCTGTGAGATAAAGGTAAGTTATTTGTTCAGTATTGTGCTACAGTAAAGCGGGTAAGTATAGGATTGTGACGTGATCCTGAGTCTGGGGATCCTCTCCCAATACATTTTGAGCTGCAGACACTTATTTACAGTACAATATATTACTTTTCTTTTCATTGAACTTTTAGTGCCCACACAGCAAACATGAGGAGGCCAATCTTTGCCTGTGTGCTGGAGAACAGGGCTTCTGTCTCCTCAACGATGGGGGCACTGTGAAGCTGGACAGGAGACATGCCTACTACCATCAAATACAGGCTCAGCTCCACCTCGTTGATGTTGACTACTGCGACTTTGTTGTCTGGACTAAAAATGACCTCTTTGTAGAGAGAATTGTGCATGATGTGGACCTGTGGGACAACATCATTCCCAGAGTTGAGCGTTTCTTCAGACTATGTGTTCTCCCTGAAGTGTTGGGACAGCAACTTACAAGGGGAAAGGTAAAAGTCATAAAAGAGTTGGTGTGCTCATTTTTTTGCACAAGAACATGTTAGTGCATAACTATCAGGTGACTAAAAGCCTCCTCTCCCTGTCTGCTGTTCCATTTTTCAGTTTCAGTTGCAAGATGATCAGGAGGGAGAGAAGGCGTGATTACCAGCACCTGTGGTCTGTCCTGGTCCCGGAAGTTGTGGTTCTCTCCTTGTTGCATTATTATTTACGTGCCGTAGTGGGTGCTGGTTTTTGGGTGTGTGTGGGTGTCTTTTTCCTCTCTCCCTCTGATCTCCCCAGGTGCTCCCAATCTCCAATCAGCGCCTCCATATAGGACATGAGGAAGGTTGCAGTCGCTCTCCCCTTATCTTAAGCTTTGTTTGACAAGTTGGCTGGTGAGCCCTTTTTCGTTGTGTTAATTAAAAGACCACTTTATGGCGTCAGAGATCAGTTTCCTCTCCTTTTTCTCTCGGCCGGTTATGTTGTGTGTCGCTACTTCCCTTTGTACCCCTATATTTACAAGGGAACGTAACATTTGCATAGTGGCAGCTCTTTAACCTGCATTACAGCACCTTCATATTCACTGACCACACTCACTAGAGGAAGTAGGGCTGTGTGATATATTGCTATTGTAAAAAAGATGTTTACTGAAAAGATTAAATGATACTAAGAAGACTGAATAATACATGGTTTCTTATTTACATTTACAATAACCCTCAATGGCCATACATGGGAGCGTCACCAGACCAATTGTCATCTCTAGAATATTGTTGAATGAATTAAGCCTGAATGTAGATGAAAGTTGTATATTGAGTAGGGCTACACAA